TATATATAAATGTGAGGCAGCGTGGTGGAATCAGGCTCTCGTCAATTTTTGAGCATGTAAAGTTATTGGTATCATCTTAAAGCTTGTCCACTTCTCTTTATTTGGATGGAAAAAACATCCATTTATCTTGAATACAAGTCGAGATATTTGCGGATGAAGGAGGTGGAGGTCATCTGTTTTCAGAGGTAAAATTAGTGAGAAAATGGCCTCCAAAGATTAGTTATTTCCTTAACTTTAGAGTCCGCGGTAAATGAAAATTTACATTTTTTGTGCCTTTAATCAACATTTTTAAGAGAAACCCACTCAGAAATGGATTTTTAATGGGCATGAAAGGTGTTGAGCCAAAAAACAAAAATTTGATAAAAATTCACAAGCCAGCGGAAAAATGCAAGTTTCTTCTCTTTGGTTATTTTGACGAGAGCCAGATTCCACCTCGCTGCCTCACATATATATATATAATATATAGTAAACATCACAAACCCTCCAGACAGATTCTTTAAGACAGCAGCAGCTTTGTTTTTAGTTAGAAATCTTCCTGAGGGTTGTTCCCGTCTTGAAAATAGATTTTCGTGTTGAATATCATCTCCAAATATGCTTTGTGATCAGATGTCCAATAAAAATCAATCAAGATATTTTCTACACAATTGCTCCAGATGAAGAACGTTAGAAAAAGCAATAAACCTATTTTGAGAAAATGAAATTATTAAAGAATGTTTGTAAGTGAATTTTTCTTTAAAAAGTTAATGGCAGAAGTCGTCTTTAAAGAAAACAATAAATGTATGTACAAGTGACTCACTTGGGTGACTTGAGATCTCGGTGGATGATCTTATGGGAGTGGAGGTAGTTCATGCCACTGGCAATCTGTTTGGACCAGTCTAGTACCAGAGTTGGTGGGATTTCTTTCCCATCTCGTAGAACTTCATACAGTTGACCATAGGGGCAGTACTCCATGATGATGCAGTAGCATGGAGCCTGTGTACATACACCCCTGCAGGTACAAGGACGAGGAGAGGCATGTGTTATTAAGGGGATCAAGTGATGGCAGTGAATATCAAATTTCAGTTTGGAACAGATGCCAAGAGCTAAGATCAAGTTTATCAGAACCTTTTTACTCCATTCAAAAGAGTGGGTCTTTTTAAAATAAATGCCCAAACTGTACTGGACAAAGAAAAAACCCAAATTTTTCACTATTGCAAAGACAATTACAACCACATATTTACTAAATGGTCAATACAACAAACATCCTTTTCATACTGAAGAATTTAACATTTCAGAATCTCAGGCAAAAAGATAAGAAATTTGCAAGCTGCAAACATAGGCCAACACTATTTATGCTTTTTTAAATTTGAAAAACTACCACTTTAATACTTTGACCTATTTATCACAATTTAAGACACGTCAAAAGTAGAGAAGAAGTATGCCACTGATGACGTACTTGAAAGAGATGATGTTGGGATGGTTGAGCTTGCGAAGGTTGCGAATATCTGTCTCCTTGACGTCACGGACTTTCTTGACAGCGACTTCCTCGTTACAAAGTTTCCCAAGGAAGACCGCCCCCTGGGCTCCACTGCCAAGCCACTGGAGGTCTGTGATGCTCTCAAAAGGAATCTCCCAGTCATCTGAAAGAGAGATTTTTTTATGACAGGTATTATTTCTTCCGTTTTTATGTGCAGTCAAAGTTGCCTAAGACGAGCATCCATCCTAGAGGAGAAAAGTGGTAATCTCAGACAGGCGGACATCTTACACAGTGTCATTATAATGAGAATATTACAGGAACAGGTCGTCTTACACAGTGTCAATGTAATGTAAAAAATATGTAAGGGAGAATAGGGAAACAGGACGTTTATTCTGGTGATTGTCTGATATATGTGGCCATCAGAGCAGATTTGATTGTTTATTGGAGAAAGTAGAATGAGTTTACTAATAATCCTTGGTAAAGTGACAAGTGGGTAGCGTAAGATACAAAAGGACTAGCAAAATGGAGGCCCACATTGCACTTCTTTACATATTAAACTCATCAAGTCTTAATGAGCATTCCTTTAGCTCAGTTGGAATCATGTACAACTACAGGGTGGATGGCTCTGGTTTGAATCCTTGGCTTGGCATTCTTGAACTCATGCCATTTTGTTGAGAGTTTCAGGCTCTCAAACTTTCAATCAGTTGGCTGTCCCATTAGGGAAGGGTGTTACATTAAAAAAACAACTTTAAAATGTTGAAAGGGGCATTCATTAACCCCTTTGTGACCTGTATGATATATGCCATTCGTTATTATTTCTTGCACATTGAATGAGCCAAGATGCTACTGCGATGTACGGTGTTTGTCATGCCTTGCAAAAGATGAGGACCATGGCAACACATGCCGTTCATCACAAACTGTATTCTGCATACTGTTTCATTTAGATGCATTTCGTAAAATGAACCGCAGATTCACATTCGGGAATATTTTTTGCGTACAAAGAAATCTTTTCCATATAGTATTTGAAAACAGGGTCTAATTATAGGAGTCCTGAAAGGGTTAAAAACAAGTCTAATACATATTGCTAAGAGAATTCTTTGGATCAAGGCAAGGCCATCTTTCATGGATGGAGCCAAAGATGTGTTTACACAACTTGACTGATCCGACTAGCAACCTTAAAAAACAAAGGTGTTTGATTTTGAAGGTTGCACTCAAAATTAAGCTGGATTCTATCATTCTGTACTATTGAATCCCCCCCCTCCCCCC